GCCCACTGAACCCCCACAACAGTAGAGATGGCAATAAAATGCTTGTCATCTTACGACGGTTGTACATGTGCTCGGTTACGGGGTGATTTGTCATGGAACCATGGTGACCAGGGATCCGCATGGGGACACTGGCGAAATCAGGAGTGAAAGAACGGGGAGGCAGAAAGCACGGTGGGGGGACATCGTCAGCTGTGGTTCTTGGGTTGCTGGGGACAGAGAGCTACCCTGGATTAAGGGGACAAAAAGACAGAGGTGAATGGGAAGGATCCCGGTCAGCTCGCAGAATGGACGGAGCGACAGGACTCAGAAAGGACGGGATCCAGGGCCACGCTGAGGCCCGCAGGGACACTCTGTTGGACCCACGGGCTTGAGGGCGCCACTCCACCCAGGTCTCCCCTTGAGGCAAGGGGAGAGGGACGTTCTGGTTGGCATGGTTCGGTTACCTACCCATCTGCTGGGGAAAAGAGGGAGGGAGAGACCCAGTGACTCACAGCCCACCAGAACCACAAGGAATGCAGGAGAGGAAGTCCCCCCAAAACAATGGGAAGTTGTGGCTGGGCAGGCAAAAGCAAAAGATAACTACTGTATTCATCGGGGTTAGGGCGGATGACAGAGACCTAAAGTGACGACGGCTTAAACAAGATCAGTTTATTTTTCTGGTGTGTAAAAATCCGGAGGCAAGTAATTCGGGTCGGTAAGTTCTCAGGCATGAGGTCTCAGGGCCCAGCTCCTTCCTCGGGGGCCAAGACGGAGCTCAAGCCCGTCTGAGTTCCAGGCACAGGATGGAGAATCAGAGACGAAAGGAGGCCAAGAGCGTGTGCCCAGGAGTCTTTTCGGGATGATTCTGGGAAGAGCCACAGCTCTTGCATTCCGTTGGCCAGCACGTAGTCACATGACCCTAAAGCTGCAGTGCAGCTTGGGAAATATAGGCCCTGCAGAAAACTGTCTTACCCCTAAGAGAAGAGGGGACCCAGGGGACCGTGATCAGGTCCTGCCACACCCACGACATGCCATCTGGCTGCCTGGTACATGCACACATTTCCACATAGTTAATATTTTTATTAAATTAAATTAATTATTTTTATGTTGAGCGTACATTCACTAAAGCTGGGGACAGTGAAACGAGGAAGGGCTCAGCACAGAAGAAGCCACAGGAGAGAGCCCAGGCGGGGCTGCTTCGGCTCCCCGGGAAGTCAGAGAGATGGGGGCCTTGGAGACAGGGTCAGGGGGTCAGACTGTGACGAGATGCCACAGTGCGGTGCTCCCCCAGTTGCAAGTCTGTGGGGTCCCTTAGAGTTGAGGGGACCCACGCCTGTCGGGGAAGGAGAAGGGAAAGGCATGGGCGTGGTCCCGGGCGGGAGAGCTTGCCTTTGATGTTTTTAAATGTCCCCACCCATCCTAATGCAACCATGATAATCTCACGCTCAGCCAAGAACACGTGCACCCCCCCCCCCCCCCCCAGGAAGCACAGGTTCAGGTCCAGGTGCCGGCAGGGCTGCAGGTCCAGCACCTCCTCCCTCAGTCCCGTATCCAAGTTTGCCGCCTGGGGACCGAACGGAAGTTTAACCGCCACCAGCTCACCTTACACATGTATACTAACGAGGAAAAGGAGAAGAAAACAGATCTAAAAGAATTTTTTTTGAAGTCACTGTTGAATTTGTTGCAGATATTATTTTTTAAAAAGACTCTGATATGTTTTTTATTGTTGTTCAAGTCCAGTTTTCTGCCTCTCCCCCCACCCCTCCCCTAAAAGACTTTAAGTAACGATAATAGGATGCAGCCAGCAAGGAAGGGCAGGCGGGGACCACTGGCCACGGTCCCCATTCCCACAGTCACAGCCTGTTGCCGCCTTCCCTCACTTCCCCCTTTCACTACCCTTTCCAACATCCCCTCGCTGTGGGCCAGCGCCAGAATTAGTTCCTCTGCTCAAAACCTCTTTGCTGAAAGGTCTGAGCCCTCGACAGTCCAGCCTAAGTAGGGAGTCTGGTATCTCTTTAAACCTTTTATCTTTTGCTGGGTAATAAACGGCTCCTAAGTTCAGAGGTGTGCAAAACAACAGCAAACAGCCAAGGGTCACATGGAATGACCGACTCCCAACGCCCTTTTCGACAGTTGACTTTCTTCGAAATTAAGTCCGGGCATTGGATTTGGTTGATAACCGTCTTATGTCGCTTTTAATTTATCAGTTCCCTTTCACTCCCTTTCTTTTTTTAAACTATTAGAAATATATTTGCTAATATATTGATCTACTTAGGCTGTTTTTTTAAATTTATTTTTATTTTTAGAGAGGGAAGGGAGGGAGAAAGAGAGAGAGAGAAAGAGAGAGAAACATCAATGTGCAGTTGCTGGGGGCCGTGGCCTGCAACCCCGGGCATGTACCCTGACTGGGAATCAAACCTGTGATGCTTTGGTTCGCAGCCCGCACTCAATCCACTGAGCTACGCCAGCCAGGGCGTTCACTCTCTTTCTTTGTTTTTTTTTGGTCACGATTTTGATTTTGCTGGCTGCATCGTTGTGGATTGGATCTAGGGGTCTGATAGATTCAGGTTCGATTTGTTTTTGCAATTATATTTCATCACAAGTTACATGTCTAGTTGTTTCTTTCCGTGTTGTTAGCCGTCATCAGTGATCCTTGCTTAGATGATCCACCAAGTTCAGTGGATTCATTAAGGGTTGCTTGTGGTCCATAGTTAAACATGATTAATGATAATGGTTATTAATGAATCCATGGAACTTGCATTCTAAGAACTCGAGGGCTCTGAGGAGGAAAAGAGCGACCACTTCCTGGGTGCCCTCTGTCCACCTGGGACTGTGCTGGAGGCTGTGCATGCCTGCTGTCATTCATTCCTCACATCCTCGCTTTAGAGGACACGTCACAGGGGGTGGGGGTCCTTGTCCTCACTTTACAGAACCACGTCACAGGCGTTGGGAAGTTGCTGAACATGGAACCTGGCTTCCCTGCGCTTTTCTTACCAGGTTAACCTGAAAAGAAAAAATACTTTATTACCTACCTACCTACCTACCTACTTATTTCGCTGCTCTAACGGCAGGAGGGACGATTGTAGGCAAATCCCCTGGATCCTGTTCATCGATGGTAAATAGTTTTTCCTACTGGCCTCGGCCTCCCTTCCCCTCCCTGCTCTCATACCCCTTGTTGCTACAAAAGTACTTTATGCACTGACTTATAATTAGTTCTGTCTGTTAGCTTCTCAAATTATAATTAACAGAATGTCTTCCCAGAGATGCCAGGAAATTGAGGCTCAGTGAAATGTTAAGTCAGGAGGCTGGACTGATTCACCAGCCTGCGTTACAGCTTGGAACGAGTTCATCTTGTTGGTATAAAGCCTCAGATCTTGTTAACTTTTCTTTGTGTTCTCTTTGACCTCTCCTTAAGTCTAATTACAACAGGCTTTTTACCTTGCTCAATTTAGTTTTGTGGTAATTTTGTGTGCTTTTTAAAAAATATGTATGTATGTATTTATGTATTTAGGGGAAGGGAGGGAGAGAGGAAGAGAAACATCAATGTGTGGTTGCCTCTCATGCGCCCCCTACTGGGGACCTGGCCGGCAACCCAGGCATGTGCCCTGACTGGGAATCAAACCAGCAACCCTTTGGTTCCCAGGCTGGTGCTCAATCCACTGAGCCACACCAGCCAGGGCAGCACAATTCTTTTATACAGTAGACATTTCAAGAAAAATGATAATGCTAAATAACAGTCGTAATGGCAGTACTAGAAATGTCCTCTGTGGTTCATAATCTTTGGACTGTAGATGAATAAAATGAAGATTTTTAAAAAATGGTTTTTAACTCTTTTTTAGGGTAGAAAATTTTAAAATGACTTTTAAAAATAGTTATTGCAAATCTGTTTTGTGGCAAAGGATTTTTACATTTAAATCCACTTTCACTTGGGATTGAAAGGTTGCTTTTAATTCTTGCTTTCCTAAAGGACTTAAGACTTGCTTTTCATTTCATCAGTAAGACTCTTTTGTGTCACCTGTACGAAATTCCCAGACTTCCTCACTGATGGGCAGAAGTAATGACCTGAAATACTTTGTCTGAATTTCCAAGAAAGATACCTACCTCCCCACCACTCACACCTTTGGTAGAAACCTACATGCTTAAGTAGGAATGTAAAAACTCACCGTGAAAACCCTCCCAAAAGACCCGGAACACCAGAAATTTTGGAAGTTTCAATATTTTTCTTTTCGCACCAGGGCCTTTCATTAGTATCATAATTATTAAAAGGTTAAACTTTATGTAAGAGGACACTGAACAAGAATGGCTGCGACCACAAGCAATCTCCAGGGGCGAATGTTGTGTCCGTTGCTCCCAAGAGGTCTCCCTCTGTTTGTTTTTTATAATTGCGGTAAGGCATACACAACATAAAATTTACTATTCGAATAATTTTTTAAGCGTACATGGTATTAAGCGAATTCCCAGAGCTGCGTGCCCCTGCAATTCCAATGCACTGTTCCTCGCCTTCCTCCGTTTTTATTTTCTTTCTCACCACTAGGGGGCGGTCGTAGACAGCACATCAGCCGCCCTCCCCTAGCCACGGCGCACGCATGCGCATCTCACCTGCGGGAAGGTGACCAGGGGCGGGCCGTGGCGCAGCCTGGGGGCGGGGCCGGAGCACGCAGGCGCCGCGCGGCGCGGGCATTGTGACGTCAGGCCGGTTGGCCCCGCCGGCAGCGGGCGGTGTCTCCCGGCGGTGCTTCCCACAGCGTGACGCGCGGACTCCCCTCCCCGCCGCCCGCCCGCCCGCCCGCCCGCCGGCCTCGCCGCCGCCTCCTTCGCTCCCTCAGCGCGCAGAGCGCGGGCAGCGGCCGGGGCGGAGGCCCAGGGCGACGCGGGGCCGATAAGAGAGCCGGCGGGCGGGCTTCAGAGCGCCGGGCGGCTCGGGTCGGCGGCCGGTCGGTGCGCGGCGGGCGAGCAGCGGGCGCGGGTCTATATGGCGGCGGCTCTGTCGGGCCTGGCTCTCCGGCTCTCGCGCTCGGCCGCCGCCCGCTCCTATGGGGTCTTCTGCAAGGGGCTGACCCGCACGCTGCTCATCTTCTTTGACCTGGCCTGGCGGCTGCGCATCAACTTCCCCTACCTGTACATCGTGGCTTCCATGATGCTCAACGTCCGCCTGCAGGTGGGTGCGCCGCGCCCGCCCGGCCGGCCCCTCTCCCCGCGCGCTCCCCGCACGCGGGTCCGCCCCGCGCGGCCCGGCCACCTCGCCCGGCCACGGCGCCGAAGATGCTGTCACGAGCCGCGGAGGTGGATGCTGGGTGTTTGCCAAGCACCGGGCACGGGCAACCCCGCGGGAGAAAACCCCGCAGAGGTTATTGTTATCCCCATTCCGCAGACCAGGCTGGGGCGGGGGTGGGGGCGAGGTGGAGAGCTTACGGTGGCTTGCCTGGGTTGAGGGCCTGCTGTGGGCGCGGGTCCGCCGAGAGGCGGCTGGATGCTGCTGGCCGGGGCTGGAGAGGCTCTGGCCCGGGCTGGAGAGGCTCCGGCCCGGGAGGGACAACGTTGCCCAGAAAATGACAAATTGGGCCTCCGGGCGGGGTGGCTTTGTGGTCGACTTTTCTAGTTCCCAGACTTGACAAAGCGTCGAAAGATGGTGTCCTTGAAGTTTAAAAATGGACTAATTAATGCCTGTTGACTAACGCTCTGATAATGCATCTCATTCATCCTGGCCGCGGTGGGAGTGGGGTAGGGGTGAAGACGAGGGAAGAGGAGGTGGAAGAGTCGGAGACAGACGCAAAGGGTTGAGAGGCCAGAAGCAGGTCAGCTGTGAAATCGTGGACACACGCACACACACATGCACACACACATGCACACACCCCCCCAGAACCCTGGAGATCACCTTTGTTACAAGTGACTGGCATGTCTACATCCTCTGAGTTACAGATGCCTTTTTCTAGTGGAATGGAAAGTCGTCAGATTGAGAAGTATGCTTTCCGAGTGTGTTATTCATGACCAAGTGCAGCCTGCTCTTGGATTCTGTTTCCCTCTCCTGGAGTGGCTGCTGGGGGTGGGGGCCAGGCCCAGGCCGTGGGATGGACGAGGGACAGGCCCCAGTCCCCGGGGAGTTTGCAGGCTGGCAGTACCTGTGTGGCCCGGCTCCCTGGTGTGCAAAAATGAGGAAGCCTGAGCTCTGGGACCAGGCAGTGCTGACATGGCGGGGGTGTCCTTTTTTCCCCTTCCAGTCTGGTTGCACCAGAATGGCATTGTCCCTGTGCCTGGACCTTCAGGGTTTGGGTGCCTGTCCCTAGTGATGGCAGACCACGTAAAACCTGAAACCAGCTGTTGATCAAAATTGTGTTAAGGTGAGATGAAGTGAACCTGCCCCTCTATTTCAAGGTCCAAATAGAGATACTTTTATGTGCGCAAGGGCTTGTGGCATCCTGAAGGGGTAGCCGACTAGAAGAGTTGACGACTCAAGTGTCTTTCCAGCAGGTGGATGCCTGGGTCAGGTGTGCTGGGCGTGGGGACCGGGGTCCCAGCGAGCCTGTGCCCCAGCCAGTTGCCGCTTGCTCACTGTTGTTTGCCAGGCCGAGTGATTTCCAAGGGAAGTTGGACATCCTGCTCTTTAGATATCAAATTAATAAGTCTTTTTTTAAAGCTTCGTGGGCAGAAAAAAATGCACCGGCACTTTGGAAACTCTTGTTCTAGAGTTATATTAACAATTTGCAGTCATTTATAAAATTACATGAATAACCGTAAAGGAAAACTTAGTACATAATGTTGAAAATCAGTTTTGCGCCATTAAAAAAAAGTCACCTTTCTCATTTGTCCACTTATACAATACTGATGTCCACCCCCTGAGTCCAGGCCACCATACTCACGCACCCAGGTGGCTGCAGTAGCCTCCCACCTGTTTTCCACTGGAGAGAAGATCATGTCACCCTTCACAGAAACGAAAAACAGAGCTTCCCATAGCATACAGAATGCAGGTCACCTGTTTGACCCTGCAGTTCTGCCTTCTGTTCATCCTGACTTTCAGCCAGCTCGTGTCTTGGTGTGTCGGGACCGCGCTCTAACCAACTGGGCTACCCAGCCAGGGCTCCAGCTGCTTGTTTCTGGCCGACTGTTCTCTCTCGCAGTTTCCGGTCTCCTGTCTGCGTGCACCCAGCCCCTGCCTGCCCCTGGGCGTTTGCCCGTGTGGGTTCTCCCACCTTGAGTTCTCTGCGCTGGCACATTCTCCCCCCCTCGGTTCTCGCCTCAGGAAGGACCTTTGTGGTCGCCATATCGGGGTGACCTCGCACCTGCTCTTTTCCTTGCGAGAGTGCCAAAGGCTTGTTTGTTTCGTGTGCAAGAAGGAATAAAGGATGCCAAATCTCCCAAGGTTTGTAGGGCAGTGAGGTAATCTCTGCAAAGGTTATTCAGATGCAGATTTCATACCTGGGCATCTATATGGTGATGCTTGAGGGTAAGTGCATTTTGAGGCAGGGAGAGTGGCTCTGTCAGAGGGATGCGGGCCGTCGGGAGAGCTAGGCGCACCTGTCCCAGCTGCCCAGGAGAGACGACTCGGTGCCACGTGATTTGTCCAGGTGCAGCACAGCCTTAGTGACTCACAGGAGCTGAGTGCCCTAGGAGTCAAACCTGGGCCTTCGCAGTCCGGTCAGGGGTGAGCGGGGTGGGGCACAGGCAGGGTGGTCGGTCCCAGGGCCCTCGGGGAGAGCTGTCTAGGAACCGCACGGAGGTTCCAGGTTTGGTCTCGCGTCTGATCGAGTGCAGCAGCAGCAGCAGCAGCCCTTCCCACGCCGAGGGCCCCGGGTGAGAGTGGGCCGCCTCATTTACTCTGACACTCACACCTGCTGCTGTGAGTTCCCCTGTAGGTTTGTGGGAATCACTAACGTGCCTGGTTTGGGGCTGCAGGTGTTCTGATCGCGGGTAAAGGGGAGTGCGGCAGAAGGGAGAGTCTGAGCAAAGGGGCAGCCCCGGGTCACAGTCTCCCCTTCGCTGAGAACACTCCATCCGCATCCTTTCCATTGCAGGGGTGCTGGGATGAGGGACCCCATCTCCTGCACGTCTCCTCAGAACCCCCAAATCACTTCTAGGGCGGCAGGGCACTTTAAGGAGGCTGATACCTAATGCGAGAGATGATTGAATGAGAAGAGGGTTTTGTAACCTGAGAAGGGTTACGATTTGAAAATAGTCTGTAAGCACAGCCGTCAGCACCCTACTTATTTGCGTAGAGGCTGAAATACATGGCAATAAAAAACTGAGAATCCACACCAACCACTGAACGTAGTCACAGCAAGGCAGAAAGTTGTACTGAGAACCCGTTGTAACTGAACAAGTCGTGCCCACACCTTCTCAGGTATGTGGCCTGTGGGAAGAATCGAGTGTCTTAGCCTCAGCTCACCCGGGCTTTGTAACTGTTAAGGGCGGAGGACCGAAAAGAACAGCCGGGGAGAAGGAGAGGCTGTGCAGGGCGATGAGGATGGCTCAGCTGAGTTGTCGAGGGTCCTCGTCCTCTCTGACGGCCCGTCGCTGTCCTCCTCCTGCTCCTGACTGCTTTTCCACGGTCTCCTGAGCGACTTTCAGAGTCCATGGCTCCACGTGGGTCAGTGACCACCTGCCTCTTAAAAACTGCATCCATTCGTTCCAGTGAGGTGAAGACTTCAGGAGGGCGGGTGGGAATGGGGAAGCTGGTCGCCAGCTAAACGGCGCGGTCAGCGTGGGCCTCACTGATAAGAGGGCTTCTGAGCGAAAAGGGAGGTGAGGGCTCAGCCTCGGAGACGGAGACGTCTGAGATGGGTTAGAAGGGTGTGGCACTCTGCACGGAGAAGACCCTAGGGCCAGCCCTGCTCTCCTTGACTCAGGTTTTTAAAGTCTTACAAGTGCAAGCAGATGTTAAAGTGCATGAGTTAGATCTGCGTGTACTCAGGTTAAAAGATATCTGCCGTATGTAAAGAAAAGCAAGGTTAAAAAAACCCACCTGTTGTCCCATTAAAAAAAAATCATGCATATGCTTGTCAACACCTGGGGGAGGGGTGGAGCAGTCCAGGACCCAGGGGGTGCCCTCACTCAGGGGGAGCCTGGGTGTTGCTTTTCACACGATCTTCGGAGAAGAGCCCGTGTTTCCTCACCTCCGCAGACGGGGTAACATAAGCAGACACTTACTTCTCGCAGTTCTGGAGACCAAGAAGTCCTACGTTAAGGCGCTGGCATGGTCAAGGTCTCCTGAGGGCCCTCCTGGTTACTGGCTGGCTGCTTCTCATTGTGTCTGTAGGTGGTGCAAGGGGCTAGGGTCTCTGCGGGGTCTCTTTCATGGGAGCACTCATCCCATTCTTGAGGTCTCCATCCTCATGAGGTAAGCACCTCCCAGAAGCCTTAACCTCCATGCCATCATCTTGGAGGATTCAGCGTATGAACTGTAGAGGGAACACAAGCATTGAGACCACAGCACCACCCGATAGCTAAGCAGGAATTGGGTCTACTTGCGGCAGAGTGAAGGTGGGCCTGCCTGTACACCACACACAAAAACCAGCTCAGAATGCGTCGGAGACCTAACCTTAAAAAACAAAACTGAAGCGCTTAGAGAAGAAAACGGGGGAACATCATGATACTGAATTTGGCGATGCTTTCTTGCCAAAAGCACAGGCAACAGAGAAAAAGTAGGTAGTTTGGACTTCATCAGAATGAACAAATTTTGTGCACCAGAGGACACACCGTCAGGAGAGGGGAAAGTCTAGACAGCTTCGCAGAACGGGAGGAAGTATTTGCACACCATGTGCCTGGTAAGGATTGACATCCAGCAGCACAAAGAACTCCTACAACCCCACGGCAATACAAGCAGCTCAATCCAAAAGCTGGCGAAGGACTTGAAGAGACATTTCTCCAAAGAAGATACAGTACAGATGGTATTTATACAGCTGGTATCAATGATACAACATGGCTCCTTCCCTGTCACCCAGGGATCACTTCTCCGTCCTCTGCTGGACAGAGCCCTCCAGCAGCGTCTTGTCACTCATTCCCTGCACACTCCTGACCGTGGCGATGATGGTGACAGCTGCTGCTCATCGGACACCTGTGGGGTGCTGGTCCGAAACGATGCCTGGTGCTTTCAGACATCGAGTCCTTGACACCCTGAGGAAAGAGGGTTGATTGCCTGAGGTCCCCAGCTGGGACACGGCTGCCCCAGCCCCTCGGGTGCGTGAGCAAATGCACCTTGGGCACCCAGGTGACGGAAGGAGGTGGCTGATGAGACCTGTAGCTGGCTCTTTCAGGGCGGGTGTGATGGGCACCCGCTGAACGAGTGGTAGCAGAACTCAGTACTGTGGGTGTTGCCTGCAGCTGTGACTCGGCTGCCGGAGGAGTCCTTCCTGCGTCTCCCCTGTGTGGGGCAGCCGTTTGAGGACTTCCTTGCAGGCACTTCCTCGGTCTGACCCGTTGAGTCACGGCCACAAGGGTGTTCAGGTGCGAAGTGTTCCCATCTGAAGGCTGGAGGAGGCCCGGGTGGTCTTGCAGTGTGCTTGGGAGCCATCCAAGGCAGGACCCCACACCAATTGACCTTGCCGTTGACCTTGCCGAGCAGCCCCTGCTCGCGTGGCGTCTCCTCCCAGCCCCCTTTGGGAGCAGCCTTGCCGGCTGGCTTTCAGAAGCATCGAGGCCAGGGTATTTTTAGTTCCCAGAGCAGTGGTATCCAGACCATCGGGTCCCTGAGGCCATTAATAGCTCAGGTTAGGGAAGGTAAGGTGACAGCAGCCAAGAGGGTGGCAGCTGCTGAACTGGGTCAGGCCTATTGTCACACAGCTGCCTCTGGCAGGCAGGGTGTTTGTGGAAGGTGACTTCTCACGGCCGCGCTGCGGGCCCCGGACACGCCCAGACAGTCTTGCTTTCCCGGCACGCCACCCCTCCGGCCGCTCTCGTTCCATTTTCAGCCTTTGCCATATTTTTGCGGGGTGCGGGGTGCGGTGAGGGAACTAGCTCAGGAGTCTACTCCCAGTCCTTCCCTTGTTTTCCCTGACTCACACTGGCCTGAACTCCAGGGCAGACTCCGTGCTCCACGCCGGTGGTTTGGGCAGATGAGTCTGTGGGCCGTAGTTGACGCGCTTGCCTCGTGGACTTTACACGGGGGGGGGGGGGGGTGACGACATCGTTGGGGCCAGGGACAGTTTATTAGGTGATCATGCATACTTTATGGGTGCACCGCAATGCACCTCCATGTATGTAATGCAGCGACATGTTTGGAGACCGTAGGGAAGGTAGCTCCGGCTCTCGGGCCGTGTGTGTGCGTGTGTGCGCACAAGCAGGCTGGGGAGGGCCCGGAGCCAGGCCGGTTTTGCTGCCCGCAAGTTTTTCGTTAATGGAATAGAACCAGACAATCTTCACCAAAACATTTATTGTGTCATCATTAAATACATGATTACTTTACTGATTCCATCAGTGTTGCCTTATTTAAAATATGCTAGCACAGCTCTGGAGTTCTCTGTTTTTCTGAACAGCACTAGCTGTGCAAGGACTTAATGAAAGTGGTTGGAGACTGATTTTCCTGGGGGTTGGCCCTTATGAGATGGCCTGTTTTTCTTAAGAATGTTTTACAACCTGTATTAATATGTATTAAAAGTATATTTGGAAATGTTTCCATTTTAGGAAAATGTTCATTCTTAGTACATTTCAAATTAGTAAAATAAGTGTAAGGTTTGAAAGAATATGGTTTGGGAAGTTAATCTGAGAGAGAGAGATTGTCAAGAGAATTTAATTATATTTGACGTGGTAAAATTTGAAAGTATTTTTTGAATTGTAGCAGAATTCACACTTGTAAGAATTATACCTCTTGCCCTGGCTGGTGTGGCTCAATGGACTGAGTGCCAGCCTGCGAACCAAAGGGTCACGGGTTTGACTCCCAGTCGGAGCACGTGCCTGGGTTGCGGGCCAGGTCCCCATTTGGGGGTGTGAGAGGCAACCACACAGCGATGTTTCTCTCCCTCTCTTTCTCCCTCCTGTTCCGTCTCTCTAAAAATAGATAAATAAAAATCTTAAAAAAAAAAAAAAGAATTGCAAGTCCTGGCTGGCGTAGCTCAGTGGACTGAGCGCGGGCTGCGAACCAAAAGTGTCGCAGGTTCGATTCCCAGTCAGGGCACATGCCTGGGCTACAGGCCATGACCCCCAGCAACCGCACATTGATGTTTCTCTCTCTCTCTCTCTCCCTCCCTTCCCTCTCTAAAAATAAATAAATAAATTTTTTTTTAAGATTTTATTTATTTTTAGAGCAAGGGAAAGGAAGGGAGGGAGAAAAAGAGGGAGGGCAATATCAGTGTGTGGTTGCCTCTCATGCGCCCCCTAATGGAGAGCTGGCCTGCAACCCAGGCATGTGCCCTGACTGGGAATCAAACCCACAAACAGCCCTTTGGTTCACAGGCCGGTGCTCAATCCACTGAGCTGCACCAGCCAGGCTATTTTTCAGTTGTTGTAGAGAGTAATGGTCACACTGCTAGCAAAAGTTTTGAGCACACCTCACAGATATATATACACACACACATACATGCACATGTATATACACATATCTACACACATGTATATACACACACATCTGTCTATACATGGATACTTATAAACTATGTATTTTGCTCTACCAAAATGTGTATGTACTATAAAGCATAGAAAAGGTTAAAAGGGGTGAGAGAGAAATAATCAGAGATGCTCTGGTGCCTTCTCCCATGCTCCTTGAAGTGGGGTCACCCTGTCTGACGACCGCTGGGCCGGGAGACTGCAGTTTTCCGAGGCTGCCCTGGAGCTGCCTGAGCCGTTCGCGCAGGAAACACGCCCAGCTCCTCCTCTTGAGGCGCTGGGTGTGGGGGGTGGCTTCCTCCCTGGCGGCCCTGCCGGGCCCCTCGCCTGTCTGGGTGTTGGGTCGTGGAGCCCCTGGCCCTGTGCGCCTCAGCAGGCCTGCGCCGCCCCTGCCTCTGCCTCCCAGAGCTGGTCGCTGCGGAGTCTCGGCCTCCAGCTCGGACACCGCCAGAGGTGAAGTCTGTACCAATCCATCCGCTTGCCGGAGTCCAGCCGTCAGACTCTGTGTGTCCGCATCCGAATTCCTCCCCATTTTCCACTGATGACAGCATCCCCCAGAACTGGAAGTCAGAAGAAAGCTGTGGGTCACTTCACCCTCTTCCGCATCTGGGCGCCACTAACTGAAAAAAAAAGACACTCTCGCTCTCACCTTTGCTCCGACGGGCCCTGCCGTCTCCCTTCCTGGCGCTGTGGGACAGCCTCCTAATTGGCCTAGTGGGACCCCTTTCCAGTCTCACCGCCACACTGCAGCCGACTAATTAGTCTCAGAGGCAGGCCTAGCAGCATTTCCTGGCTGGAAATCCCTGGGTCTGTCCACCCCTGCCGAATGAGGCCTGGGCTCCTGGTGCCAGTGGCCTTCCTCGTCGCCGGCCCCTGGGTGGCTCTCCGTCCTTAGCCCTTGTGCCTCTCCTGCAGCCTCCAGTGAGACCGGCTGCTCTGTTTTCTTCCCGGTGGCCCGCAGGCCCTGTCTCTGCCTTCCTGCGGGGGGGGGGGGTGGGGGGGGGTAGCCACTGCTGCTCCCTCTGCACACCCGGGCTGCCGCCTCCTTCCCCTCGTCAGAGTTTCTGCCCTTCGGTCAGGCGGCTGCTCCTGAGGGCAGCCTCTTGGAGAAATTACGGAGCACGCTTCATGTGTCCCTCTGTATTTCATTCATTACTGTTCCGGGGTCATGGTTATGTGTTAAAGGAACAGGTGTCAAAGTTTCTTATAACTTGTCGGTGAATAAGGGAACTAGTAAGATGCTATAATCACTTTAAAGGAGAATTTAGACCAAAAAAAACATGTATTCGGGGGTACTCAGGTGAATTTACAAATAGATGTAGAACTGGTCAATATCCACAGGACAATAATACGTTGCATTCCTCCAGACAAAATTAATTTTCGTTTCTTTGGATAAGAAACCACTTGCCTCCCTCTTCGGATGTCTGCAACTCAGGGCCGTGCAGCAGCCCAGAGACGGAGGTGCAGGGCCCTGTGAGATTAGCCCGAAGGACGCACCGGCCGGCGCACCTGGTCATCTCAGTCTTGGTCCGTTCCAAAGCCCGTCATACTCACTCTTGACCTCGTCCCCGTCTGGGGCGCAGTAACGTCGGAGCGAGGCTGTTCTCGGCCACAGGGAAAGGCTGGTCTCGGGGTTTAGGGAGCGCGGCAGGAGCGCCCTGTGGCGGGCCACCCTGCCTCTGCTCTGGAACGGCAGCCGAGGTCACGACACAGCTCCTCTCCAGAGCGTTCGTGCGAAATCTCGGGTCGGGCTTGTGAGAGCCTCCGCTGCTTGCCAGCCTGAGAGCTGGGATGCTAGCTCTCGGAGCCTTCGCCGCCGCGTTGTTACCCGCAGTGCCCGTGAGTTCAGCCTCGGCCTTCTCTTCAAGGCTCCAAAATTCGCTGAGGCTCCCGACCTGCCAGCAGGCGACCTTCCTGGGCCCCGGGGGCTGGACCCCAGGGGCCAGGGCCCCTCCAGGCTGGCTCTCCCGGGAGGGCTCTAAACCCTGGACCCGTAAGCACAGTCGGCCTCGGCTCCTCACGCGTGGCTTGTCACTGCGGGTCATTCTCAGAGGGGACACCCCAGGTGAGGCCTTGGCTGCATCTTCCCATCGTCCGCGTACGCGCTGGTTAGAGGGGGCAGAGGTTCCCGCTGAGCTCACGGGAGTGCCTGCCCGGCTGTGAGAAATACAGACCTCAGAGCGTCTTTCTTGTTTTCAAGGAATTTTAGGAGACTGCACTGGGAAAGGACCAGTCTTTTTGTTGCTGTGACCTTCAGCTGGCAGGCTGTCATCCTCCTCTCCGTCAGAAGCAGGGCTCAGTACGAGAGGCGGAGACAGAGAAGCCTTCTCGTTTGTTGGCAGATAGCTGTGTGTGACTCTCCCGGACTCCTCTTCGCTGTGACGCTGATTCGGTTATATTTTTCTGTTCGAGTGAAACATTTTATAGGAAAGAATAATTTGATTATCTTTTCCAGGTCCATATTGAGATCCACTGAAGACCGTCCACCGACTAGCACAGGTGTGCCCGCGGGCGCGCCGCACCGGAGAGCACAGCATGAGGGGCAGGCGCGGGGCCCTGGGCACCTGCGGCGCGGGAGCGCGGGCAGAGGACGGGGACGAGCCGCCACGCAGCCTGCGGACGCGGGAGCGCCCTCGCCCGTCTGGCGCCCCTTCCCGGGCGAGGAAGCCTGCAGCAGATCTGCGTGGAAACCCGCACAGTGAGATGTCGCTGGTGGCAGCGAGGAGCGACCGGAGCGAGGCCAGCCTCTTGCCCCACGGGGGCACCGCGGTGCGTCCGTGCGTGGAAGCATCGGTGAGAAGGAGTCGTGCTTCCCCCGTGGCTCAGAGCGAGCCCGCGGAGGAGCGTGCTGCCCGGGGCTCCTGTGGCGGCAGAGGTGCCCCGGTGAGGGACCGGCTGGGAGGAGGGCCCGGGGCCGCTGAGGGCCGCGGAGGAGAGCCACGGGGGTCGGGACTGCAGTGCCGTGAGACGCCATCAGGAGTGGGAGTTTCTGAGGACGAGCCAAGTGCTTTCCTCGAGGCGAGAGGCTCTGAGTCAGAGCCGTCCGGCCTGCATCCTGTCCTGTTGCCACCGCCCCGGCACGCGTGTCCCCGCGTGGCCCTGAGTGACGGGGCAGAGTGCGCTGCCCCCGGCCGTCCGGAGCCCGCGCTTCCGGAGCCCACGGAGGAGTGCAGGAAGGTGCTTCCCAGTGTGGAAAGCGCCGCCGCCGACCTGCAGGTAACACTGGGACTCCCGGCTGCGCGCGCTGGTCAGGTAGCAGAGCTGTCACGCCGCCGTTAAGGTGCAAGCCGAACATTGAGAATAGAGTGATTTTAAAAGTTGGCTTAGGACGGCCTTCCCATGAAGTCGGATGCAGGCGGCACAGCGGGGGCACTCCCGCCCTGGTTCGTGCGTCCAGGCGGACTTCGGGGAGTGGGGTCTGAACTCACGGAAAGCCGGCCGACGTGGAGGGCAGCTCTCGAGCAGGTTTTAATTACTTGGCTCTTGAAAGACATTCAGGACTGGGAGACCATTCCCAGGAGAAGATGACTGTACCCCCCGCCCCTCCCACACACACGAGATTAGACCATAAAGAGTGAACACGACGCCCCTTACGGACCCTCAGCGCCCGTTCTGGGGGCGGCCGCCGGACGCTGTCTCCAGGTCGTCTCGTCGTCCGGCGGGAGCGGGTGCCGCAGACGCCAGCCCCTCTGTGCTTGCTCTGAGCCTTGCTGAGTTGATGGTGCACTGTGACTGTTTCTGCATTTTGTGGAATCATTTTCGTCCGCAGCAAACTTTGATTTCTGTTCTCACCTCCCTTTCCTACCACTTGAAATGCAGTTTTAATGGAGGCCGTACGGTGAAAGTTGCAATATTAAACTTAGCTTTAGAATAAAAAACCCTTCTCGAACGGTGTCACCAGGAACAGAAGTGAGTGTGAGACTCCAGTTTCTAGGAACCGAGGCGTCTCCGACACTAAGGTTTTTCTGGGATGACTCCTCCTTTGTTGTTTGTCGGTAACTGGTGAAGGTCACCTCCCAGTGTCCGTTTCCGAGGAGTCCCGCGGCGAGACAGCCGAGCCAGGACTGGAGCGCACACGCCGGGTCACGCCGCTCTGCGCTGTCGCGGTGTTCTGGGAAAATGAAAAATAAAACCTGCCGTTTAGCATAATAAATGTCTTATTTTATGTGTACCGTCTCTGTTCACCTTGTCTTTTTATGAGTGTTGCCTTCCTAACCCTTGCCCGCGGGAGCAGCTGCTGGCGAGGAGGCCCCACGCAGAGCCTGGGAAACAGACCGTGCTGCCAGGTCGGGGCTCCGGGTCGGGGCTCCGGTCGCGCCTTTCCCCGGGACGCAGGGAGACCGCGCCGGGTGCGGCCCCCCGGGGCGCGGCTCCCGGAGTCCCAGGGTAGGAGTTCCTGTGAAGAAACAGCGGCCTTCCCGTCTCAGAGGACAGCGCCTGCAGTTGGGCAATGAGAGCCCTGGCCAGTGCACGCTCCGTCCGGGGTGACCGGTGGGTTACGAAACGAGATGAGGACCCATCTCAGTGCTTTAAAATGGGAGCTGCTTTCTCATCGAGCCTCTCCCCCCCCCACACCCCACCCCCTTTTTGTTTTAAACTAAGTCTGCTCCTTTGGGATAGGACTTTCCATGACTCATGAACTATTTGGTTTCCTTTGTTTTGCAAATTGCAAGTATGTACGTTTTCAACCAATTGCAAAGAAAAAACAGGAATTTCCTATTTGGCCTCAAATGCTGAATTAGTAAATCTGAAATTTTCTTTCTGCGGTTATGTTAGAACAAGGTGTTTTCTAAAAGCAGTTTTGGGGGAACGGTCACAATAACTCTTTTCTCCACATTAATTGCTCAGCACACGTACATCTTGCCGAAATGTTCCCCTCTGGCGTTGTGCTCTGTCCGGTTACGGTCTGTAGGCGGCAGGTTCTGGGGCGGAGACGGGGTGATAAAGGTGCTCACGCAAAGTTTCATGACTCTGCAAAATCTGGCCTTCGATAAACATTTTTATTTTTGAGGCCATTAGTACAGAAGTAAGATAGTTTGGATAGATTAAGTTTCATGGTTGGGTCAGAAAAGGGATCCCTCATTGGAAGTGTTGAGTGTGTATGATTTTGGCCATGAAAAGGGTAGGAAGCCTGTTTGAAAAGGTCGACATCCGTTTTCTTCTTTGCCTTCGTGAGTTCTGCTCTGAAGGATAGGATAGCACACTCGCTCTAGAGAACAGAATCCGGGACTTAGCTATCGACGTTTGGGAGCCCTGATTTCTTTTGTAACGCTCGAGTGGGTGTCGAGCTCCTGAAGCAACGACGAGGTCGCGGGCCTGTGCAGAAGGGAAGATGAAGAAACGCCTGCGTTTATAAACAGCTCGCCCTTCGGGGACTCTCGGTTTGGTAAGTAGGAAGCAGGCCGTGCACTCCGGAGCTTGGCGTCAGTCCCCGGGCACCCTGGAGTTCACACGGACCGCTCACAGCGCAGCTGGTCCTAGAACACCGGGCTTAGGAGGCCCCTCGGACAGGAACCTGTGTGGGGCTCGGGTCCCCCAGCACTTGACTACAGTCGTTCCTCCGTATCCACGGGGGTTGGTCCTAGGACCCCCTCCTCTGCAGACCACCAAAGCTGGGGTTGCTCAGCTCCCGTCTACGGAACAGCACAGGGCGACCCATCCGTGGTTCTGCTGCGTCCCCGGATTCCCAGCCAGGGGTCAAAACTAGGGTGTTCTGTTTGCGGCTGGTTGGATCTGTGGATGGGCGATCGGGGGGACGTGGGTGCTGACTGTAGTTTTTTGGGAAAGAGAAAAATCCGTGCAGTTCACGCAGCGTTGGGAAAGTCACAGAAAAGCCTTTTCGATCTGTTTGCTCCAATGTCTTTGCTGGAAAAGTCAAAATACTGAGGAGGCCCACGCTTGAACAGGGAAGACTTGGGGCACTGGGTAGTGAAGGTCGCAGTTACGGAAAAGCTACGGGGGGCGAGGTGTCAGTGTGGAGGGAGCTGATGGGAGTGAGCCCCCAGTCCAAGAAAACGAAGACTTTTAATAGTGACTCCCCCCCCCCCAAAAAAAGCCCATTTTGGGGGTTGAGTTTGAGGCAGTGTGGCAGCCCTCTTGGGCCAGACACCATGTCCCCTCCAGCCCAGGCCTGGTGGTCTGAGCAGCCCCCGAGTGCTGTGCTTGCCTCTAGAAAACCGGCCTCTTCCTCCAGGGAGCGAGAGCAGGCGCTGCTGCGGCTTCACTCCGGTTGCATTTTGAGTGGCCCTTTGCAGGTCACCCTTTACATCATCTAGGGCAGTGACAACAGAAGGACCTCTCCCAGGGTGGCCGGGCCTCACCCCGGCGTGCAGACTGGGGTTCTCCCGCGAACTGCTTCAGGCCTTCTGGTTGCCTGGAGGCAGTGGACGTAACCCTTCGCCTGGCTGCCTACCGGGAACCCCGTGCCTGCCGTCCGACCGAGAAGGAAGGAGTGATTTGCAGATTGGGAAGTAAGCTCTGCTCTCTGACTCCTGAGGCGTGTCCCCTGTTGCACCATCCTCGGATCCGCGAGCCCTCCCCGCTGTGGTTGGTCGAAGATGACTTGGCAAAAGCAGCGTGTGTCCGTGCTCCTTTGACTTCAGTGGCCGTGTCGGTCAGGACTCTCCCGAGAGACGGAAGCAGTTGGACACAGACGGGTGGATGGGCACAGACACAGATACAGATCGTAGGTGCAGGTGCAGACACGAGACGGGGGTTGGCTCGCCATGACGGGGGGGACCCAGCAGTCCCGCGTTCCAGCACCAGGACGCTGGAGACCCAGGGGAGGGGAGGAGTGTAGTCCACCCCGAGAACCGCGAGTGCCGGTGTCCAAGGGCAGGAGGCGGACGGCCCAGTTCCAGCGAAGAAGGAGTAACTTCTCCCTTCCTGCACCCTTCTGTCCGTCCCCTCAGAACCCCTGACAGGTTGGGTGGTGCCCACCCGCTTTGCCGAGGGGCGCCCCTTAGCCCACTCGGGTTGGCGTGGAAGTAACCATCCCGGTTGCCTCTTCTCCGCTGAGTCCTCGGGTGCCTTGAGGAGTCTCATTCTTTGTAGGACATCTGAAGGGACAGCGTGCCCAGGACACGGCGCTGTTTCTTGTTCCCATCGCTCTTCCCCGAGACTTGACGATGGCCCACGCCAGTTCAGAAAAGGCTGCTGTGCGAGGGTGGTCTGAGAGAAGAGGGGAGCTGGTTTACTTTTGATGCGGGCACTGTGTTCTGCGTGTGGGAAGTGCACACACACACATGCACACACACACGTCTGAATCCACTTAGAAATCGGGAGTGCAGCGAGGGGAACCCTCCCTTTGTACCCTGCGCCCGGGTGGGTGGCAGGCAGGACTCACTGTCACACTGACTGACGTTCACGGTTCCTGCTCCACTGGGCAGGCACGTGGTTCGACAGCACGTGGCTGTAAACGTGTTTAAACGTGTGTGGGGGGGTCTCTGTTAGAATGAGCTTCTCCTTTCTCCTATTAGGCATTCTCTAAGGGGAGTGCCAGCCAGACCCCTCCCTTTGGTTCCCTGTAAATACTGTGTACAGATGGCCCCTGACCGAGGCCGCTTCACGTGCTGTCTTCCGACTTGACGATGGTGCGAGAGGGATCCGCGTTCAGCAGGAACCGCATTTTGAGTTTCGGGTTTTCATCTGTTTCTGGGTTAGCGGTACGCCACGCGACACTGTCCTGCTGCTGGGCAGCTGCACTCTGCTGCCGGACGGCGGACGGGAGCGGAGCCCAGGGTCAGCCCCGAGGTCATTAGTAAACAGCCCAGTCGCTGGAGCGCAGCAGTGAATGCATTTTCGACCTGATGATACTTGTAACCTCTGATGGGCATATCAGCAGGTAGCCCCATTGTAACCCCAGAAGCTTTGGTGCTTGGCTCAAATTACTCTTCGTGCCCCTGGTCCCCTGCATTTGTCACAGGGTCCAAAGAGGGCCCTGGAAGACCAGGATCAGCCCCTTTGTTTTTGAGCTCTTGCGTCATTTAGTGTGGTGCATACGGTACCAAAGCATGACTTTATTTTTCTGTCGGCTCCCTTTCGGGAGCCGTGAGATTGATTGCCTTTGGCCTTCAAGACTGGTAAGGTCCCGGGCCTGAGCTTTCGCACCCGACCTCGAGGGTGTGTGAGTTCTGTCCTTCGCTCGCTGTTCGGATCCGCAACAGATGGTGGCTTCGGTTCAGTTTGCTGGCAGGGGGCAGGGGGGTCCGGAGGAGGGCACAGAAACGCCTCCTTTGTCCTGGCCCGGAGACCGGCCCAGGCTGCGAGGAGAGACCGGCCCTTGCACCTGGCAGAGGCCTCTCCTTCCTCCGTGTGGCTGACACGCCGCCACCTTCTCAGTTCCAAGACCTGGGCGTGGCTACTGGCACGACCAAAGAAACCCGGTTTTTCTTTGAAAACGGGTTCACCAGTACCAGGCTTTTATGTGGGGCGTGCTGAGTTTTAAAGCTGCAGGGGACACGCATGGCGTTTCAGGTTGGCGGAGGAGGTGGAGTGGGGTGTGAGAAGGTGAAGTTTACTAAACGGCCTCTCTATTAATCTGGGCAGGGTTTTACATCAGTGTGGGCGGGTTTCAGAGGACCGTCCTCGCCGCCTCCTGAAGGGGCGCAGCCGGACCAAGGCCCGGTGGATGGGCCGCCGCTGCCCCCATGGCGTGTATTGAGTAACGTTGGCAATGCAGGGGTGTTTTATTTTATTTTATTATTTTTAGAAGATTCTTGCCCGAGGAATCAGTGTTTATTGACTTTAGAGAGAAAGGAAGGTGGAGAGAGAGAAACATCCATCCATTGCCTCACGTATGAGCCCCAGTGGGGGATCAAACACGTAACCTAGGCGTGTGCCCCGACTGGGAATCAGACCTGTGACCTTTCTGTGTACAGGACGACGCTCCAACCAACTGAGCCACCCTGCCAGGGCCAGGGTAATTTTAATGTATTGCTTCATTTGCGGTCGGGCGGGGGTGGGGGGGATGAGGGGATGGGGGATGGGTGGGGCTTGAAGCCAGGCCCCGGGAGTCTGTGCCTGTGAGGTTAGCGTTTGCCACAAGGGGGAGCCACATGCTCACTTAAGGAGGGTATTGCTTCAGGGAGGGCATCATTTTTTTTTTGTTTATCCAAATTCTTAACCTTTTTTTAAAGTTTATTGTTAAGTTACAGTTGTCCAGCCTTTTTCC